AATCGTACGAAACTGTTCCTACTGCCATTTCTGTTTCCAGTGTTATCGTTTATCCAAGTTCTGTTATTTTTTTATAAGGAAACACAGGTATACTCAGTTTACATTTATGTCTGTGGCCATAAAAGGTTAGCAAATTCATTTTGAAGCCTTGCAGAGTTTGTAGCTTATATTTTTGCATGTCAAGTGCATTCTGTAGTTTTTTGTATATTTAAATTTCCCATAAATGCATAATCATTTTATTTTTAATACTTTAACCCAGACCTAACTCAGACCAATATCATATGAAGCTGTTCCTATCGCCATTTCTGTTTTCAGTGTTATCGTTTATCCAAGTTCTGTTATTTTTCTATAAGTATCCATAAAATCAAACACGATACTCGTGGTTGGCAATAAGAACACTTTACATTTACGTATGTGGCCACAAAATGTTTGCAAATTCATTTTGGAGCTTTGCAGTAGTTTTTTGAAAATTTAAATGTTCCATAAATGCATAATCACAGGTACCAATATTATATTCGTGATTAGCAGCGAATGAGTTAATTTTCGATATAGCAAAAAAAAATAATTGGAAATTAAAACACACCCTCATCGATTTTAAACGTCCGATGAGAGTAAATCGGAATCCAGAGAGAGGTACTTATCCAATAAATGGAGAATCCGAAGTCGTCATCGCCTTAACGCGTACTTACGAAAGACGAACCTGTCTTCCGAGCTCCCCGAACGGCGCATCAAAGAGAAATATTACGGTGCGTATTCGCGCATGCCACAATTACGAACCGATGTGGCTAATGCATTTCCATATCTGATGTTTCCAAGGAAGCCGCCGAGACTGGCCGGTCCCGGTATCTGGAGTCCAGTTAGAAAATACTCGTCCTCCTCTTTTCACGTGTCTCTCGGCTAACCAGATAGTCAAACGCACCGACGTAAATCACCGACTGGTTAATTGAGCCGAGTGAAAACCTGTTTTACATCCGAGGATGCTTCCGTCGTAAACGTTTCGTGCGCGGGCGGAATTTGCTCCACGATCGATCTGCTCGATTCTCTTCCCAGCCTCTTGAGGAAAATAATATTTACAGTTAGTAAAAAGAAACACGATATAATAAATAAATAGCCGATCCCAAGCTAGATTACAGTTAACGTTAACATAAATAAAAATAGACGGTATTTATCGCTGCATACAATTTTGTATATTTAAGTAATTAATTACCTATTATTTATATAATATTAATTCAGGCGGTTCTATCAGAAATGAATTCTATCGTAACCCTTAAATTTTAACGAACCCAGGGTTGGAAATAATTGTGGAACTTTTTGAATAAATTTCGTCGGAACGGTTGTTATGAAAATTTTCTAACAAAAGTTCTCGCGTTATAAATTTTGATGAAAACAAATAAAAGTTTCGGTTCGAGTAAAATTGATAAATATATTCCTGGGACAAATGCAGATCTATGTGCTTTTTTACGATATTTCACAAGATATTTCGACACTGTGACCAAGCATACTCTACCATAATTCACGTCGCTTTTAAATTGCTACAACGCTATTGTATTAACAAAAAAACAATGTTTGTACAACGAGAACTCGACACAGAACAATTTTACGGTCCGCCTTCGGCGAATTCTAATTTGAATCCGATGCATCGACATTCGATCCTTCCTTTCAACCGGTGCATCCTTTGTCCCCTCGAACGCGAAGTTGGCATTGCGTCCATCCGGTGCTCGCATCATCGCGATGAACAATATTTCATATTAAGATACTACTTTGCATCCAAGCGGGCGTTCAAACGTTTTCTCACCTTTTCCATTTAATTATCAAATCACTTCTAACAATAACAAACAGCATGCTCTGCTGTACTCAGAGTTTCTAATATTGGTTCTAATACTGTTTGCTACATGTTGTTCGCGGTAAAATTTATTCACGATCCCGTACAATGGTTGTAGAACTAATATGTCCATTGAATATTCAGTCGAGTCCTCGAAAGTAACAAGACTGTGTCCCAATTGTTTCTTTCGATTTAACCCCTTGCCATACAATGACGTATCTGACGCTTCACAAGTTCTTTACGTCAAGTTTCACAATTACGAGACCACTCACTCGTCATCGAGTCTCATAAATTAAAATCAGCACATTTTTACATTCACGAGGTATTCGTAAAACAATTCTATTTTTTGCGTGGCCATTCATTGCACGAACAAATGTAAACAAAATTAAATAGTACAGATCTGAAAAATTATTTGGAATTAAATCGTAAGTCAAGGGGTTAAAGTGCTATTTATCGTACAAATGCTATCACCACCGCAGCGTGTTTGCAAATATGCCCTCGTTATCAAATTTATTTTTATTTAAATGCAAATATCTGAAGAACGTTTCGTGACGACAAAAATATTTTCGCGCGAAGAAATTAAGCGTGAAGTCGATTAAAAATAGCAACTTCGTCGATCAACGGTCTGGTTACCACCCCCCCGCGTGTCAGAGCGAGGCTCCCGTGGCAATTTTACGAGGCGAGACGTGGCGCAAATACGCGCAGCAACGCGAAACGCGTGCGTTTGACAATATTTCAGCGTGCGTGCGTAGCCGCGAATATTCCAGGTGCATTCAAGGCCGCAAATGACCGGAGGGGTTCGCCTATTCACCAAAGGAACGGAGTCGTTCGGCGAGGGTGGCTTGATGTTAATTGAAATCGTAAAATGACTGAGCGCTGCCGTCGTCCTGGGAAGGGGGATGGATCGACGCGACGAGGGGGAAGGGTCGTATCTTTCTCTTTCTCTCTGTTTCTCTGCGGGCTCCAGCGGATCGGGAAAACGGTTGTCGCTTCGCGTGGGTGTCACCTGGCGAAACGTCACCCGCAGACGAGTCGCGAGAATTTCCGGTCGCGGAGGAAGCAGTCCCCGACGAAGATTGGGACATCCTTCGACGTCCAAACCACCGACATTTTTGCTTACTATTATCGAGTACTTTGCAATCGATTTTTATAGAGAATTGCAAGTTACCTTGCAGTCGCCTGATTCTTACGAAAACAAGGGACCATTTTTAACGTGGCCTAGGAATGTCTTTTAAGATGCGAACGTAGCAATAGTTCAGTTTGCTTTTTCCATAAAACGTAATACAAATATTAGTAAAGGAGAAATGAAAAAACTCTATACATAAACACGAGAGTGCCATTTTTAGTAAATGGGGAAAAGGAATGCTATTATTCAAAGATTGCAAAGAAACTGCAATTATTTTTGTTTAAACCTATCACCTTGATTTCGCATATATTCTAGTTAAATTGAAATAAATACAAAGATAGGGGTGGATCTGTAATTTTGCTACTAATTATGTCTTGCAGACAATTTTCATATATGAGGATACTCGGTAAATATACAGAAACTATTCACTGAATTAGTATTGTTAGGCAGACAGCAGTAGTGTGTGCGTAAATACATGTGAGTTGACTATGGAAAGGATTAAAATAAAAATGGTCCAAAAAAATAGATTGGGTGAAAGGTCTACTCGTATACCTCGTCAGTGGTCTAACGAAGGTTGGAACGCAATCGCGTGAAAGGTACGGGACACAGTTCCTCCATTGATAAGTTCCGTGTCGTAATAAACGCATCGAAAAAAGAACGATTGTAACTAACGCGTATGTGTTATTGTTACGTTCGATAACCCACACGCCGTCCAACCTTATCTTTTGTGGCCACAGGCAATAAAAGTTCTTCGTATGCTGAGATTACAAACGATGTTCGAATGTTTATACAGTTCCTCGTTCATAATACAGCCGTATCCCTTGATTTACGCGCGAACTTTACCCCACCCACTCTTGAACAGATAAAGCTAAAGTTCACGATTCGGAATCGATTCTCCCAATAACGAATCGAATACAGAAAACTATATAAATGCATCGACTTATTGGGATATTTTGCAAAAGTAGTAAATGTTTAAATTGTATTATTTTCTATATAAAATAGTGAATTTGAACTGTGCAGTTTTGTGCACCACACATATTTTTTGTACCATGTACTCTAGCAACTTATTAAAATATTCCAAATTCCGGGTACTTATGCTACTGTAAAATGATTCGAGTACCATCTGTTTTAACCCTTCGAAACCTGGAAGGCAACATATAAATACCCGTAAATTCGTACAAAATATTTTAATTAAAAGTTAATATTAAGATATGTGACTGATTGGGAATTATCGTTAGAACACATTCTAAATCTGATGAGATAAATAATAATAAATAAATAATAAAATATTTTGCAAAACTGTCAGTTTTGATTTTGGTCGCTAGCAGCGCTGGAATCTTGTTCCATTTGGAATCGATAATGGCGGATGTGACTCTGAAATGGTAAAACGGCTTCAGAACCTGCTACCCACTGTGTATATCTTGTGTGTGAGAATAGCACAGACGAGTTATCCTAAAGGAACCTTTTGAACCGAACTCTGGATACTAATCATACAGATCGATGAATCTGTATGTAGAATAAGCTGAACTAAAATTTTAACCACATATGATCGGGCAATTTTGAGAAAAATAAGTATACGGATTTAGAAAAATCTCTGGAATCAAATAAGTATGCTTTCGAATGTCTCCGTAAGAAATAATTCAGAGTCAAACTCGTGTCACGTGACCACCCGAGGATCTACCAAGTAATTTTTGTAAAAAAATTTACTCAAGATTTTTCTCGGCGCTGAGATCGAAATCTCGGGAGTTTTTAATTTCCACTAATTTTGGATTTTCTATTTTTAATACGTTTATATCGTGTTTGATTATCTAGTTTGCCTATATGTGCAAGGAAATTTGTATTACCCCTATTTAGAAGGTTGATTACTCATTTCTTACCAAAAGACCCTAAAATCTTGGACCCACTTTCTAAAATACCTTACATAATTAAAAATAAACAGAATATGCGAAGAACCCACAACGACTACATCGAAAGACCGCAGATTCTTAATTTCTAATCTATCAATAGATCATCCAGGTAAAAGGGTCTTCCTTTACGAGGAAAATGGGGGATGGAGAACGATATGTATTTAAAATACCAAATATGTACAATGTTTCTAATATATAGTAAAATATATGCACAAAAAATAATGATTGTTAGACGTATTTTATATAATATAATCAAAGAGATCGATGGTTATACCAGTCTCCGTTAGTTCTGCGTCATTTTTTGTTGCTCTAATCTCTTTTTTCTCTTTAGAACTTTCATATGCTTTATACTTGTCAAATGTATGTCCCACTGAACTCCAATGAAAGTCCTATCGCAGATCTGTAAAAAATAAATGCGGTTCGTTTAAGATCCCAAAAGAATTTAAAGAGTTGTTAGAAGCATTCGGTGTGGAAACATACGTCGCAATAATGACTTTCTTCGTTGCTGGCGTCGCTAACTTTTTTGGAGTTGACAGACTCCTCGTTGATCGGTATCTGTGATGGTTTTTCGCCTCTCAATATGGCGTCTATTATTTTCACGGCTGGTTCGTACACGCAGCTATTCCATTCATCCAATTTGGTACAGTCCAACGTATACATCGGTGGCACCTGTAATTATGATACATAAAATTAATATCCAATATAATTAACATTTCACCTCGATGCTCATAATTAAATACGTAGACTGTTTAGTTTATCTCAACCACATTAATACCAGCGCTACGAACGTGCTGTTGTAATTAATAACTCTTTCCTCGAGGTTGTTTTTTCACTGACATTGTTTTTACCATATCGTAGCCGACAAGAAAAACAACTCAACCTTACGTGCCATAGTGACGTCGAAATAACTTAAAATAAAAAAAATCTCTACTGCCTAGCACAGTTTTCCCGCCAAAATTAAAGTGGTTAAACTAAATCAAACATTCTATATAGTGGAAATTAATAACTAGAAAAAACGAAGGATTAGGAAATACTTCCTCGAATGGATTTTGTACCTGTCTATCGTTGCGTCGAATCATACGATTCATGATCCATTTTCGTTGTTTCTTCGCGTATCTCTTCGTGACGAGTTTCAAGTCGTCGATGCCTTGTTGGAGTAATTTCTGGCCCTGTAAATAAAAACATACATATAAATAACATTACATACTTCTTCTACTTGTACAATATTTTTGTTCGCGGAGAAAAAGATCGATTCCCCGCGTAACTGAACAGAGTGGACTCGAGGAGCGTTCAATTACACGGGAAGTACTGTACACTTCAAATTAAACACACTGTTCGTATAGATTAAGCCATCGTTAACTCGAAACAGATTATTTAAATACTCATAAATAACCCTGTCACCATTACGCAATTTTCTAACAAGTTAACTTGAAACTAATTTGTAACGTTTCGAACATATAATTAACACTTTACTTTTCTAATTGAAGTTACGATAGCGAAAACACTTTAACACTTTAAATTCCTCGATAATTAATGGAAAGAGTTACACTGTTAAAAATCATAGTGCCCGAGCTTTTAAATTCTTTCAAGGGTCACAAAGGGAAGCAAATTAAATAATCCTCAATGACATATATGACATAACAATCTTCATCTCGTTTCAATAAAAATAAAAAACTGAAAGATACAAGGAATTTCGCAGGCAAATTTTACATAGATTCTCGGGCTATTCTCCCCGAACGATTAAAAATAATTCCTCGCGCTTGCGAAGCGAACCGTGCCAAAATGGCTGTCGGAAGAGGAAGCAGAAAGAACCGAGGGAACGGAGGAGAAACCGCACGCCTAGGTCGCGACTGTACGAACCGCAAGGCCCGATGAAAATGATCGATCCCTTTAAAGCTCCCCCGATTCGACTTCATTCGCGTATAAAACGTTTCATGGACAACGAGATCGGTTCCAGCGACGATAATCGCGCTGCATCACGCGCAGCTGCAGCGAACGTGACGACGTTGCAGTTCGCCGCTTCTGCTTACCTTTTTCTCTTGCTTCTCCTCCTCGGGCAGCACGAGGTAAGCGTGAAACTCCTTGAAGCCGATGGTCTGAAAGATGCCTTTCGTGTAATCGGGTGGCCTGGAACACAAACATTTACAAAATCATGTACGCTGTTCCTCCTGGATCCACCCCACTCCCCCGACTGCCCATTCAATTTCACCTTTCTTCCACCTATTTCTTCTGCAACGCAACGCTCTTTGAATCATCCCGATTGCCGTCAACCGGACCATCCACGTCTAATAGAAAACCAATCAGAAAAGGACAATTTATTACTGAACTTTGCTAACCGATCTTCGACAAGGTTCCATAAAAGCAATGGAATCGATATTATTTTTGGTTGAGGGGGTAAATTATCGTTTTTGGTGAACAGACATACCACCGAAATTCTACGCACTATTGAGAAAAAAAATCCTTACCGAAAAAATAATTTCTGGCCAGAATTCCTTGAAATTTCAAGCATGCCTTTAAAAAATCATAACTCCCGAACGGATTGGAGGATTTTCATATTTCAAAAGGCAAACGGCGCGTATTTTAGTGCAGAATATGTAGAAATTCTAACAATAATGGAAAAGTTGTTGCTTGACACCGTAAAGTGAGAAAAGCCACATAAAAATGGTCCAACATTCAAACAGCCATAACTCCTACAATAGTAAATATATTTAGATGAAACTTTTTTCTGAAGTAGGGCTCATGGGTATCCACAAAAAAGAATTAGACAACTTTTCTCTAGGGTGTCAAACAAAATTACTATAAATCATAAACGAATTTTTAAGAAAAATCGACAGGGTGTAGGTGCCTAAATTTTGCGGCGAAATTGAAAAGTTTCAAATCATTCTGGAAAAATTATATTCGGTTGCAGGGTTCAATTACAATCATTTTTGGTCGATAGACATACCCCCGAAATCCTACGCAGTTTCGAGAAAAAAATTCTAGTAGGTGCCTAAATTTTTCGGCAAAATGGAAAAATTTCAAATCATCCTAAAAAAATTATTGTCGGCTGTGGGGGTCAATTACAATCATTTTAGGTGAATACACATACCTTCAAAATCCTACGCATTTTCGAGAAAAAAATTCAAGAAGGTAGACAAATTTTTCGGTGACATTGAAAAATTTCAAATCGTTCTGGAAAAATTATATTCGATTGCAGGGGTCAATTACAATCATTTTTGGTCAATAGACATACCCCCGAAATCCTACGCAGTTTCGAGAAAAAAATTTGAGTAGGTGCCTAAATTTTTCGACGAAATTGAAAAGTTTCAAATCATGCTAAAAAAGTTATTGTCGGCTGTGGGGGTCAATTACACTCATTTTAGGTGAATACACATACCTTCGAAATCCTACGTATTTTCGAGAAAAAAATTCAGAAAGGTAGACAAATTTTTCGGTGACATTGAAAAATTTCAAATCGTTCTGGAAAAATTATATTAGATCGCAGAGGTCAATTACAATCATTTTTGGTCGATAGACATACCCCCGAAATCCTACGCAGTTTCGAGAAAAAAATTCTTTACCGAAAATACAATGTCTGACCCTGACATTCCGATTCCCCTGAAATTTCATGCGTATGTTTAAAAATTCATAACTCCTGAACGGATTGGACGATTTTAATTTTTAAAAATGCAAACGACGCGTATTTTGATGAAGTATATTTAGGAATTCCGAGAATGTTCGAAAAGTTGTTCCCTAACCCTGTAAAAATGTATGCCTTATAATCTTAATTTTCATGTAGCTAGTTAAGTACACGTATACTTAACGATTTTTGTGCAGAACTCCAGCAAAATGTTAGAGAAAAAAAGATAAGGTTTAAATGAATTTTTCGTACTTTCCTAGGTGTATATATTTATTGAACACGTGGGTTGGTTTATCGAGAGTGAACCTTTCCATACTCGAGACAGAAAACAGTGGCCAATTAAGGTCACCGAGCAGCTACCCGTTTACCTGCTGCTTCGTCTCTGGTCTCGTCGCATTACCACAATGTTGCGTTTCGGAAACAGAAAGCGCAACCTGTAGACACGTTCTTTGTCCCTCGTCAAAAAAAAAAAGCGAGATTGCCACGGTGTAAAAGTAGACGATCAACCTCGACGAGTAATCTCGAGACAATTTTTTGCCTCGACAAACACTGGTAAATCCTGACAAACGCCATTTCTTACGCACCCCTCGTTTCGAGGTAATTTAGTTTAGCAGAATTTCATGATCCAATTCGTGGACCTTCTCCATCGTCACCCTCTTAAACACAAAACCCAACAATAGTGTGCAACTCATTTTTTCCATTCCAGATTCATGGTTGCCATCCAATTAAATAATACGCTTTGCAGGTGTAATATTCCCATTTGTGAATTTTATCCATTTCTCTGGGGGCTGTTTTGGAATAGTTAGAGGATCTCTTATGGTTCGTACATCAGATATAAACGTAATAATTCATCTTGAAAATTACTTATAAAACAAATTAAAAAAAAAGGTTTTACAAATCGTAGATTGCTTGACTTCAAGAATCCATTATTAACCCTTAAGTGGATTATTGGAGCCACTGTGGCCCTCCACCAGTTTAAACTAACAATTGTTTAATATGTGTCAATATAGTTATTTGAAAATTTAAGTAATCCTCCATTAATTCATTATTTTTAAAATACTTCAAAGTTAATTTCCATTTACCAATTTGTTAAAAATTCAGTCGAGATTGAGAGTTCACTCAAGGGTTAAAATTGTCCCGTCACCGACAAATAATGCTCCAGTAAAATGAATTCTTCAATTTCTTCGTTACTGCTAAAAAACAACATCGTGAAAGAAGAAAATCCGGATTCTCTCGCGGCTAACAATTAGAGACAGCTCCTACGCGCACTTTTCTACGTTTTCTAAGCGTAGTATGGGCCGGTGTTACTGTTATTATTGCCGTGGCTCGCGTAAAAAGCAGAGGCAAAAGAGGGTGGCGTACGTCCTATCGTCTTTAAACGGCGGCGAAGCGTCGCGCGAGCACGTTTGCGTCCTCGGTTCTAGTTCTCGAGTGGCGATCGTATCTCTGTTACGAAAGGAGAACTGCATTTTGCAGGCTCGCCATCTTATCAGGGCTTGGATAGTGATAGCGAGCTAGGCGAGGTCGAGACGGCGGCAGCTTACGTGGCGAGAAAAGTCTGCGTCGCTAACGCGGGCACGGCTCACTTGTTCGCACACGTGTCAATGCCAAATATGTACCTGTAACTAGAAATTAGATCCACGTGGCGGCTCTCCGTGTGTGCGTGCGTGTGTGTACGTGACACGTGTGTGCGTACGAAGCGCCATGCAACTCGCTTTCAAGGAACGCGACTCACCAAAGAATTCAACGCCTTATCTCGCACACAATACAAGGGGCTAACGCCTTAAAAATCGATTCGTTTCTTTCATTTTTTTAATCTTCGATCCTTCGAGAATAGTGCATTTAAATATTGGGGTGAAACTCCAAGTTAATGGGGTTTACTTAACCCATTAACCATCGAGCAATGACAACATTGGTCTAGTTTAGAAATTCAGGGGATAATTGGAACCAGAAAAGTCCGCCATGGGACTAGAAAATTACGGTAGCGTTGACGAGAATATACATTTCGTATGGATAAACATTTTTTTAATAAATGTTTTGCTGATTAAAGTGCCTGAAATATCGTAGTGATCGTTCGAGAATAGATACAGAGGTTTGAGACAAAATTCATAATTTTCCTCATCCAAATTTCCAGTGTTTCCCTTTGAAGAATAATATCCTGAAATCTATGTCTTTCGATACAAATTGAGTGGTCCCCTATCGACATGTTTCGATCGATATAATATTGCAAATCTCGTAATATATGCACTAGTCTGAACCTTAGACGTTATCATTAAATTTGTTTTGATTTATTTACCCCATAATTTACCTGGTTTTCTTTGGAACGTCGCTCGCGTTGTAACAATATTCACTGTTATCCAACCAACGACACGGTTATCGTCCGATCGTTTCGCGTAATTATCGAGAGAATGGTGACTAACAGGCGCCAATCAAAACGTCAATTCCCTGATACGATCGGTATTAATCAGAAATGCGCCAACATTCCAGCAAGAACAGTGATAACACCGAGGGGTACCAGCGATACGTGTAACGATAATAATAATAGCGACAGTGGCGTTCGTAGTAGTTTGCACCGGTAATTAAGATAACGACAGCGACAGAAATTATTATCACGAATGCATAACTGCTCTAAAATATTTTTACCAGCTGTTGCCAGGCCAGTCCCCGTGCTAGCGCGTTAGTCGCGTATTATTGCTGCTTCTTTATCGCGTGGATGTCCAGTTATCGGGCCAACTACGAGTGAATCGGTTAATCGTTGAAGTTTATGGCATTACGCGAAACAGAAATCTGCCAGTTTATATCCGTCAAAGGACAGGAACGGTGATCAGACGCATCTTTCCGTCAAATACGATTTTAAATGATCGATGAATGCGCTATTGAAATCATTCGCGAGCTCGTTCGCGTAACAGAAAGCATAAATATGAAACGAACGCATAGAATCAGGTTAAAATCTTGAAATTGTAATATACACTTAAATTAAACTGTTCTTTAATTATAGATGGTCGATATTTTTCTCTTTTTATTTCGAAGAAAAATAATTCTTGCGCTTTAAATACTATAGTAAATATGTATGTGTACTTTGTATTATACGTATAAATAAAAAGAAATAAAATAATTATAACTATATTATTTGGAGTACCGAGAATTATTTTATTTATTTCTTTTGCCATTTTGGCTGAGACTGAAAAAAATCCGAGGTCAAAAGATAAGAACCGCCCTAATACGCACGCATACAAACAGAAGGTCGCAATACTACAAACATGTCGCATAATCAGAAGGATCAATAGAGTAAGATATTACTTGGCTTGGTTCGTATCACGGATAAATTCGAAACGTATTACTCGAATTAATTTGTCGACATAAATTTATGTAAAATAAAAGATGGTGATAAAAATGGCGGAATATTTATGTACAGTTCGTACGTTTAAATGTTCTATTCACAGGTAGAAAGCAAGATGGGATCTAAGCGTTACGTTACGCGATTGCGATAATAAAATTATAATCGATA